CAGATAATCATAGTAATATGACATTCATTTCAGAATTTACTTTAAAGTCATACAAAAAAATTAAATTCATTTCAGAAAGAATGTGAAAACCTTGGCAATAGGGTCACATAGTTAAGATTGAAAAACAAATTAGTTTGTTAAAGAAGAATAGTATGTCCAAATATCCATAGCAGAAATGAATGGCAGAAGTAGCTTATTGCCTTATTCTATGATCTAGCCAAAAAACTTATCATAGTAAGCTCTCATTCTAGCCAAACTAACCTAATGCAAATCGAGATAATCATAGTAATATGACATTCATTTCAGAATTCGACATGGGTGAAAAAGAAGAAATATGATCAACGGTGAAGATCAAATCTAGTGAACGGTCGGGATCAATTTGTATCGCTATTAAGTATAAGGATTAAGTATAAGGACTAGGATTAGTTAGGATTAATGCTTCACAATGGACAAATAAATTTTATATTTTAATTAGTTCAGTTTGTTCAGTTTTGAAAGGTAAAAACCAAAACTGAATCAAATAACTATGATTCGGTTCGGTTTTTTATATTCGATATCGGTTTATAAACGGTTCGATTTTATTTAGCTACGATTTTTTACATTTGATTCGGTTTTCTGTTTTTCGGACCCGGCCCTACTTTACTATCCCACAGAAAAACTCCACAATCCCAGTCGCTGTTCAGACCGCGGTTCCTGGACCCGAATGCCATTCCTGCCGGCTGACCGAACTTACCGAACTACATTCCAGAAGTCAAGAACTGACTGGAAATTGCGCATTATATAATCGGAAACTCGGAGGCGGCATCATTATCTATGGATTCCGGCTGAAACTGTCTGCCAGAGCCGCCGCTTGGGCATCGAACTCCGCCGTTGTAGCGCAATGTCTCTCCTTCACGCGCCTTGCGCCTCCGTTCTACTTACCGGCAAAACCCCGAAAATCGCGATTAAACCCATCGATTCTCTCCCATTCTCCTCAACTCTAAACACCAGATCAAAAACCTTAGCGATTCGGCATTCCTACTCTTCGTCAAATGAGCCGTCCGACTGGAAACCATCTGGAGACCCTCTTTCCGCCGGACCTAACGATGAGGGTAACTTCTCCGATGATAAGACCTCGGCTTTTGTGGATGAGTGGGGAGAGAAGTCGGAGCCTGAGACCCAGCCTGCCACGAGATTTTCGGACTCCGATCCTCCCAGGAACGAAGATGAGTGGGGCGGAGATGAGTCCGGGGGAAATGAGATTCCTGAACGGGGTGGTGAAGAAGATAAGCTTAGGGACCTGAAGATATGCCTCGTGGACACGGTTTATGGTACTGAATTTGGGTTCCGGGCTTCGGGGGAGGTACGGGCCGAGGCTCTGGAGCTCATTTCTCAACTGGAGGCTGCCAATCCCACCCCGTCTCCAACGGAATCTCCTGAGTTGCTTGACGGGAACTGGATTTTATTGTGAGTTTCTTTTCTTTTTTATACTCCATATGTATTATTACATGGTCTCTTTACTGTGTAGTTTACCATTTTCCACATTTCTGGGTTTATGTTGTACACATTGAACATTGTTTCTTAATTTATAGTCATGACTCATGATTAACAATTTCGTGCTCAATAATTTTTCTTTTGCTGCAGAACCTGATAGGGTGTCTTGAGTAAAATAGGGACTAGTAGAAGCATAGTAGAGGGGTTATATTTCAGACAAAAATGATGTTTGTACCCACTCTTATACTCACCTTTGTACCCACCTATGTTTGTGAAGTGTTTTTTTGTCCGTGAACCCCGATTCACAGACAATATTTTGCACAAACAAAAAATTGTCTGTGAGTCGGGTTCACAGACAAAAAACACTTCACAAACATGGTGGGTATAAGAGTGGGTACATGAAGCATTGTTGCATTGGCTCAGTTTTCATATGTTTCTTGCTTGCTTCACTTAGTCCTACACAAAGATTGCCCTTTTTAAAACTTCTTCTCTCTAACAAATGAGTACAATTGCTGCTTTCTCTGCTTGAGTTAGTTTTCATTGAAATATCCGTGATGGTCAAATGATTATTATTTCATTTGAAATAAAAAGAAGAGTTTACCAGTAATTGCATGGTAGAGGCAAAAACATTTTCAAATCAAGTTCCTTTTTATGTTGACCTCCATCCCTGGAATTGAGGTAAAGCTCAGTAGTTAGATAGTTAATTGGTAGCTACTTGGTCAAAGGCTGACTAGAGCTAAGTGATAAGCGATTACTCCCAAGTAATTGGTAGCTACTTGGTCAAAGGCTGAGTAGAGCTAGTGATAACCTGTTATCACTAATCGGTATTAGTATATGTAGATATTGTTTCATAAGCCGGACTGATAATTCTTTAGAATTCAATTTATAAGCTATCTAGACTCTGCAGCATTTTATCCATTTTTCATGTCACGTGTTAGGTTTACGGCGTTTTCTGAGCTTCTACCACTTCTTGCTGTGGGCAACATTCCATCTATTAAAGTTGAAAAGATTTCTCAATCGATCAATACTAGCAGCCTTTCGATAGAAAACTTGACAACATTGTCTACCCCTGTTGCGACGTTTTCATTCAGTGCTACTGCAAACTATGTGGTTAGAACTCCCTCAAGAATACAGGTATGCTTTTCAAGTATGATATCAATATGAAGTTATGGACTCTTTGAGTTTGAACCTTTGAGGTATTTACTATTTCGAGCTCCTTAATTAGAGAGATATATTTGGCTATAAATTGTCATACCCCAAATAGGCAGGATTTCAAAATGACTTTATGAGGTCATTGAACTGAATTATTCAAAACTCTATTGGAAATGTATTTAAATTTTTTTATGCAAATAAAAAGATGTGGTTAGAATTGTCATTTGTCTTGATTTGAGGTATTTGAGTATCTTTTTCTGGTAAAGAAAAAAATAAGGGTTACCCTCATCATCATCATCATCATCATTGTTATCATTTGTTATCCGTCGATTCAGATGTTACAGTCAAATAAGTTGGTGTTTTTTGTGGATCTGATTAGCCATAATTGAAGGGTACCAAACTGATGATTTTCATGTGCGGTTCGTTCTATAACTGATATGAGGTCATTGAACTGAATTATTCAAAACTCTATTGGAAATGTATTTAAATTTTTTTATGCAAATAAAAAGATGTGGTTAGAATTGTCATTTGTCTTCATTTGAGGTATTTGAGTATCTTTTTTTGGTAAAGAAAAAAATAAGGGTTACCCTCATCATCATCATCATCATCATTGTTATCATTTGTTATCCGTCGATTCAGATGTTACAGTCAAATAAGTTGGTGTTTTTTGTGGATCTGATTAGCCATAATTGAAGGGTACCAAACTGATGATTTTCATGTGCGGTTCGTTCTATAACTGATATATGGATGGATAAATGGTATATGAGCTTAAGGAATGCTTTTAGAGAGCAATGTTAAACTTGAGAAGCTTTTTGGATAAACATGGATTTCTGCCATCAATGCACTACTATAGTTTTACCATTCATTTTGACAAAGTAACTTTGACAGGTTGAATTTAAGGAAGGCAGCTTTAGACCTCCAGAGATCAAGTCACGAATCAATTTGCCCGAGAATGTAGATGTGTTTGGGCAGAAGATAAATTTGAGCCCTATCCAACGGTCTCTGAGTCCTCTCGAATATGCAGTCGCTAGTATAGCCCTCAAAATTTCTGGCCAACCCCCTCTAAAGATACCCATTCCTAGTGATGGGGCAAACTCCTGGCTACTTACTACATACCTTGATAAGGATTTGCGGATCTCCAGAGGTGATGGTGGGCTTTTTGTGCTCCTTAGGGAAGGAAGCCCGCTGCTATATTAGTGCACACGTGCAGTACATTGTTTGTTTATTTCCAGAATTCCAGTTATAAGTTCAATAAATCTGGTTTATTCTAAATGCTTGAATTATATGGAGTTTTGAACTCTTGATTTTAGTTCTATTAAAAGTTTATTTAGGACAAAATTTCAACCCTTAAGACAAGCTGTACAAGAAAATGTGCACAGTAGATATTCGAAGCTTGAAGCCTTGAAGTAATAGATACTCCACTCTTCCTGTAAAGAGATCGTGCTCTAACTTTTTTGTTAAGTGGCCATATTCTCATTCCATAATCCGGTAATACTTCTTTTATGAGCTAAGGGTCTTACATCAATACACAAGGGTCCTAAAAACATACTCTGTAGTACGTATTTATTTCACATTACTTCTCCAACCTTATCAAATGCCAAATAAAAACCTTCTTGAAAAACTTAGTACTAACTAATCTGGGAAAGGAATACAAACACGAAAACTTATGTGTTACATTAGTAACCTCTTTAACAAAACTTACTAGGAGACTTAGGGTGTTTGGATCTGATTCTTAAAACTGTTTCTGCTCCTTCAGAGTGCAGAAGTTGGGGTGTTTGAGTGAGAGGGTAAAAGTGATTGTGGTGCTCTAATTTACTCCTAGAATCAGTTTTTTTAGAAGTTGGAGAAGACCAGCTTCTGAAAACTGATTTTGTTTCTGCTTTAAAAAAGAAGCAGAAGCAAAAGCATAATCAGTTCCAAACACCCCTTAACTAGTTAACTCAAGAAAAAATCTTACTAGACTTTCTCAATTATGCCATGTGGCAACAAATATTGATAATTCACTTTGCAGTGCATTATTTGTTTAATTGTTTCAATTTCTTAATTACACCTGGCTTGTTCTAAATACTTGGGGGATGTTTGTCTATTAGCATTTCAAATAAATACTCATCTGAATTGAAAAATGACATTTTCGCCTAAATGCTGGGGAGAAAAACAAAGCCTTAATGAATTATATCGAGGATTCAGATTTGTTCCATATAAAATTTATTTCTTAAAAACTTTGAGCCTTTAAGTCAAGCTGTAGAACAAAATTTAGCATAGAAGATGATTTAATTACTTAAGTAATTAGGTCATTTTACATAATGTTGTGAGTTCAATGACAAAAGTAGGAGAAAATGTTTGTATAACACTGGTGACTGGCCTAAACTCTCAAATTTGAATCATGGACATGTTGTGAGTTAAATAATATTCCGTAAAATGTTTGTCGGACAAAGTATCCTAGCAGGCTAGCATGATTCGCATGAATAACAAAAACACACAAAAAGAACAATATTTATAACACTAGCCTAAACTCTCAAATTTGAATCATGGACATAAAAATAAAAATATTATTAATGGAAAGACAAGGATGGGGTTATATGAGGGAAAATATACTCTCTGGAACGATGTGCATGACATTTTTCCATGCCTCATTATCAGTTGGGAAATGTCCACGTACTTTAAACACTCTCCAAACCTGCATTCTTAATCCATAAATCAAAACAGAAATTGTTTTCCTCCCTAAAGTCACCAACACAATTTCCCCAGCATGGGTTGAAGCAAAACGTAGCAAATCAGCTCGGCCTAGTAGCTTTCTCCCTTCCAATGGGATGGGCATCGTCCACTTGTTCTCCCATTGCATAGAATTTTTCAAAGTCCATATTTTCATCTTGTTGTCGTTGTTTGGACAAACCTGAATGATAGCTAGTCGACCCTCCAGTCCAACCAATCCTGATCTTGAGAAGACGTCTGACGAGTAAAAATCCTGTCTTGGCAATCCACTGGGGAAAGATATCATGCTCAAATTTTCAGTCCTAACATCAAATGCTGCAATATCATCGCACCTAGAAAAATCATCAATATTTCCTCTATGCCAATTTAGTGAGTAGATAACGCCCTCAACATAAACACTACTAGAGTGGGAATAGAAGGAGTCGAAAGAGCAATGTGGGAAATATGAATCAATATTAATCTCCCTCCATGACTTATCCACACCCAAAGTAAAAATCCAATGCTTCTGCACATCACGGGAATCCAGATATTGCACTGACTTTAAAACTTTAAATGTTTTTGAAACTGGATCAAAACCTAATAATGCACAACCTGATTTTGGAGATTTTGATCCATGCACTTCATGTGCCTCCGGAAGTGATATATGTTGTCTAGTAGAAAGGTTGCAAACAATGACATCATGGGGTTTTTTGTATAGACAAACCAAACCATTAGCAGAGGACCGTAAATGATGTTTTCGAAACAGCTTCCTTTCCAAGTACGGAACATAGCAAGATCGAAGCTTTCCTTGGCTTCCTTCACTCATATTTATAGTGTAATACACATGACGAGTCATGCTGGTGCGAGTTGGAAAATGCATTAGAATGCTCGTCTTACCCGGAAGAGTTGAACACATATTGTGGTGCAGCTCAATGAAAGAAGGATCAGCAAACAGTGAATAAGCTGATTTGCAAACACATTTGAGCTGTAGTAAAGATTTAACAGGAAGCTTGGTAAGAATTTCGAGAAGAATTTCCTCTGGAAGAAAAGAAAGAAGTGAAGCATTCATTATCTTCCTCTTTGAAGCTCTCTCCATCTCTCTTGATGCACTCATCCAGTTCAGACAGACCTGCAATGTGTCTCATCAGAATGTCAGATTAAAATAAAATGTATAACTTTGAGAGTATGACAGACACAGTGGTTAGTTTAAGTGTCCATATCATTCTGGTTGCTGCTATTAAGGACTACACGACAGCATACAATGTCCAGCACTAACGACTAACCGTAGTGAGAGTTCTGCATCGCCTGAATGCCCAAGCATCACCTAGAGATGCCATTAGAACAATGCTATAGAAACCAAAGTTTAAATTTCCCTTAAAAATCCCATTCCAGATTTGATAGCTCAAAAGCTCATCTACTGTGACAAAAAATTGTACTTGTCAAGTAACATATGATACTCTCAATCAATGTAACTCTCTCCTTGTTCTAATTATATTTTAATTATTCAATACCATTGCATTATCTTATAAATAAATTTCTTTTAGTTATATATATTAACCAGAGGAAAATTCCAAGCACTAAGCCCTACAAGACTGCTCTTATTAATCAGAGGAAAATACCGCTTTTATGATCAATGAAGTAAAAGGAAATAGATTGGAGCAATTTGAAATATAAAGTTTTCCTCTTTACTAAGGTCTAAAATAATACCGAAGTATAGACTATCTACGGAAGAAATATGGTATTGAGTCTGTCTTGGAGATGAAGAGAACTAATATTGTGTAAGTCTTATATGTGCAATTACACTAGTTAATCTCCTTTAAACACTCAGTTTTTACGCAAAATCATACGTAGTACATAAAAAAATAATAAAAAATTAAAATATATATATATATATATATATATATATATATACTTGTATAAGCTAGACGGAATTTTGGCTCTGCTACGTACGAAGGCAACAGTGCCAGCATATTGGTTGGTCAATAAATTACAGCTTATTACATAATTTACATCTCCTTGATTTTGAAAATTATTCATGGTTTTAATGAAAGAATAGATGAAATAAGAACACAGTTAGTAATAATGGACTAACCTCAGGACGAACGGCACGGTGTAGATTGCTCCAGGGAAGAGGAGATGGAAACGGAGAGCACTAGCGTAGGACCGTCAGACGGCTGAGAGATGAGCGGTATAGAGTTGAGCATGTGATTTTCTAATTGGACCGCATCAAACTCTTTGGGCCAACAACTTGATTATTTAATTTGGGAGTATTGTATTTTTAGTGGGATTCTTTACAAAAATATTATTAAAATAAAACTTATTTACATAAATATAAATATGTTTATTCATTACTACACGAGTATAGCATTTATGGCTGTTATAAATAGCAGTCTTTTTCCCCTTTGTAACGATCATCGAGCTCATTTTAATCCATTTGACTTTCTCTCTTACATGTTTGCTCCGACTTCTCTCTAGATATTTCTTATAATATCCCTTGGTTAAGCTACTCCTGGGTACACTATCCATCATCAGTCATACGGAGTACTAATTATGGGAGAAAAAGATAAACATCTATGTTTACTATGATTGGCTATTGCATTAAAATCACCACCAACCATCCATGGGTCTTTATTATTTCTAGCCCAAACAGTTAAGAAATTCTGCAGATTCCTGCTTTCAATGTACGTATGACTCCCATAGATAGACGTAAACCAATATAATAAATTTCCAGAATGAACTTTCATATGTATATATTGATCCCCCACAAAAATATCATAGATATCAACATTTGTTATGTCCCAGAAAAGTCAAACTTTGTTTTCAACACAAATAAAGAATTTATTCATACCAAGCTCCATAGCAAACCCATTTATTTTCATAGAAGAAACGACAAGCTCAATCACAACAACTATATTAATTCTCCCTTGTCTAATGAGATCCTGAAGCCTTGGACATGAAGAAACAAGGCCACAGATATTCCAAACAAAACAATTCATTTTTGAGGGGTAGGGAAAGCTATTGTCAGCTTTTTAGCTGCATTTGTGGTAATTTTGGGAGTATCCGGGACAACCTGAGTGGGCTGTCCCTTCTTTCTTCTGGCCACTTTAATAAAACCATGACGTGCACTTTGTCGTGAGTGCACTCAAAATAAACTCAATACTAGCACTAATACGTAGTATAGTGAAGTAGAGTTCGTATCCACAGGGAAAGGAATAATTCTCTTTTTATAGAACTAGTAAATAAAGGGGGGTTTTGATTGAGTGATTTAATTAAAATAAAACACGAAGATGAACGAGTTAAATGTGATTTGATTCAAAGATAAAAGTGACTTGGCATTGCTACTTTCCACTTGTTGATATATTTTAGTCGATCATTGTTATATCTATAACTTATCTCCTCTCGAATACTCAATCGAGGAGTATATCCAATTCATCGAGGATAGTTATTAACAACGACCGTTCATTAATAACCCTTACTATTAGTCAAGTATAGAACAACGCCATATACCGACTTGATAGTAGCATTTAATCTTTTAACTCCTTGATGAAATCAATTGAGATTGATAACCTTAACACAACGGTTTCGGTTTAACCAACAAAATTAATCCCTCTTAAGTTTATTAACCATGACCGTGCATTAATAAACCGAAGTTACTTACTTGTGAAACTATCAACGCTTAACCATCGGTTCATTGATCGTTTCTAGTAATAATTAATATGTGTAACAAAACTAGTTGATCCTTTAAGTAATGTTCAAAATATTAATATGAAATATGAATAGGGATTAATTTATATTCAAGGAAGAATATTAAAGAAGATGAATCCTACTATGGTTAATATCAAGATGTTAACTAATTGTCATCTTAGTAACACTCCCCGATATTAACATAGAGGAAAGAATAGCTATTACTAAGACCAATGTCAAGATGTTAACTAATTGTCATCTTAGTAACACTCCCCAACATTGATATAGAAATAGTATTTGAAGGAAGAATTAATATTCAAGGAAAAGAAGTTAAGAAGATAACTCACAACTTTAATAATCAACAAGCTTCAAGAACAATACCAAGAAATGGAAGTTTAGCTCCTCATTTGGAGACTAAACATGCTAAAAGAAATATAGAGAAATGCTATTCTAAACTGAGCTTAAGAGTATATGTGAATTGGTTCCAAAAGTGAAGGAAAGGAGGTGTATTTATAGGCTTTTTGAGGTGCAGGTCGGGTACTCGATCGAGTATATACATATACTCGATCGAGTATGTGTAGAAATCAGAATTCGGTCAATACTCGATCAATACTCGAGTAGATTTTATATGTATACCCGATCGAGTATATAAGTGTACCCGATCGGGTATAGACATTGGATCGTGGGAAAATCTTCTCCTGCATGTTCCTTTGTTTTCGGATCCGATCCGATTTGAAATGTCAACCAGATACCCGATCGAGTATATGTATATACTCGACCGAGTATAGACCAAAATCAAGATTTCCTTTTGTCTTGTGATTTTTGTACCTTCTGTCCACTTTTGGGGTTCACCAACTATCCTTTGAGTGCTCGTAGACCTGTTTAAGCTCAGAATATACCTAATCTAAACAAATTACAACAATTTAACAAACTAAACTATTACACCGAAAGTGTGTAATTTCCGAAATATTAAACAACCAAAACTAACTAAAAACGTAGATAAACACACGGAAATTACAAACGCATCAACTCCCCCACACTTAGTTCTTTACTCGTCCTCGAGTAAAGTCAAATGTTTCAATCAGTTTAAGAACATTCCATGAGTTCAAGAAAGAAATGAACTAAGATCACCAAGAAATAAGAAAATGATTTTACAAACAACTTTCTTTCTTGGGTTTTATGATCTTCTATGCTCCATCTTCTTGCCTCTTCTTCTTTGCCTTCTCCTCTTTCTCCTCAAGAGATCAAATGAGTTCCTGCACATAACAAATATTTCTCTCATATCTCTCATTTTGCCTAGGAGCCTTTTCAGGTTTTCATCCTAGCATCTATTTTTGTTTTTCCATCCTTTCCAAACTCACTCAAAAAAATTTTTATAAGCCATTTTTGCTTAGATTGCCCATTCTTGGGTTTTCAACCTAACTAGCATTTCAATTCTTTTATCCATTTTTCTCTTTTTTTTTGTTTACAAAGAGTAAAAGAAATTCATGCATAGTAAAAGGTAGAAAATGAAATTACATACCATGAGTAATCTCCTCCCCCACACTTGGTTGAAGCACTGTCCCTAGTGCCCGCCTTCTCCACCGTAGTGACTGCCTCCAAAGCCGCTTCCAAAGCCTCCTCCAAAGCCCCCGTCGCCCATGTGAGTATCGCCACCGTCATCTCCGCCATCAAAACCTCCACCCCCGGAGCTAGATCCTCCAAAATTACCCCATTGAGTGGGGTCATACCAAGAGGGGGGTGGTGGTGGTTGAGCCATGGTGTGGAATTGGCCTTGATGAGCCATGTAGGAATACATAGGTCCATAGAACCTACGTTGATCTTCTTCATATCTACGATTCTCTTCGGCCCGTTGCTCCTCCAGCCTTTGAAATCCCGCCCTTTGTTCCTCCCGATACTTACCAACTTCATTGGTAACTCTATCAAATCCGTCAAGCAGTTGTTGGAAGTAATCGGGAGGTGGGGAAGCTTGGTTTGGTTCGGGCATGTGGTGATGTGCAACCTCGGGTTCTTGGTACTCGGGTTGAGGCTCTGGGTCGGGTTGGTCTTCGGGGGGATCTTGGGCTTGTGGTTCTTGGAGATGTGGTGGAAGGGCGTGTGGGAATAGGAAATGGGGCACCTCGAACTCCGGCCTGTAGATGATTTTGGGAGTGTCGGGGTTTGGCATGAGGAAGTATTGGACCGGTTGGACGTGTATGATCCAGTTGTACATGTGTTTGGGTCGGTCCCCAATGTACACTGTATGAGAAAAAGAGGTGCAGCCTGATCGGCCTAGCCAACCTATGTCCATCAAACAATAGTCGGGTATAGGAGAGTTATCCGTATACCCGAATTTACCGGCCAAGTGCATAATCACCCCTCCCAAAACAATGGCTCCTTTGGCTACGCTTTCTTTTTTCAAATGTGCCCACATGAGATTGCACAGATTAAAGTCTACGTGACGACGGAATAAAGCCACAGACATCAAACACACGTCCCCAATCCTCATGTGGTGGTTGTTGGGGCGTCCAAGCAAACAATTTGCCAAAAATTTCAAGAATAACCGGAGGACGGGGTGTTGGACATGACTAATATACATTTGGGAGGAGTTAAAATTTACTTCCCCGGTCATCTTTGTCCATAGAAAGTGCCCAAAAATGGTGGTATCCGAGATGGATCTCTCGTAGGGCACTGGGATGCCAAAATGTTCAGCAAACTCGAGTTTCGTTATTGAGTAGTTTCGGTTAAACAAACGAAACTCGAGTCTATCATCCCTAAAATCCGCTTCATCACTTTCAAATTTCACCGAACTCAAGAATTCGTAGATAATCCGTTCATTAGAATGGTATTTCATATTGAAAATACGGTCCATATCTAATGCATGAAAGAATTTTCTACAACTCTTATAGACTCCTAATTCTCGTAGAGCATCATGGCAAAGGAAACGGGAAGGTTTTACTTGCCTTCTTGTTGTTGATAGGAGTCTAGTTCGGTGTTCGGCGTCGGCGGGAATGATGTCTTCAAAGCCCGGGATAGGTGCTATGGTGATTGAGCTCTCTCCCCTATTCTTCCTTGGAGCCATTTTTTGAAGCTTTTGAGTTTGAAAATCAAAAATTCGAATTTTGGGGTAGGGTTTTTGGATTTTGTGGATGTTTGGGAAAAGTGGGATTTATGGGTATAGATATGGAGAGGAGATTGAGGGGAGTATTTTGGTGGTGAAATGGGATGATTTGGTGGAGAAATGAGGGAGTTTTGGTAGAGAGAAGGTGGAAAAATGGAGTTTTGGGGGAGAGGGGTTCGAAGTTGGGAGTGTTTTGGAGAAGATGAAGTGAAAATGGGTGTTGTTTGGGTATTAATCGCAGGGGTACCCGATCGAGTATCCCTGTATACCCGACCGGGGTACCGGAGACAGGGGATAGAATATGGGTGTTTTCTGAGCATACTCGACCGAGTATCAACTTATACTCGATCGAGTACTGGAGGCAGGGATGAAATAAAGTACTTTTTCTCGTTATACTCGACCGAGTATGAACATGTACTCGATCGAGTACTGGAGGCAGGCTT